CCATTATGCCAGCGTCCGAGCCGAAGCGCGTTCCTCGGTCTAGGCAGGTCGCATTGCACCCTCGGCTATAAGACGCCCCTAGGGGCGTTACCTTCCGAGGGCCTTTGACCGACCGCCCAAACCGACGCTGGCCCGCCCGCGGGGAAATACACCGGCACGAATGCCGGCTGAACCCCGCGAGCGAGTCTGATCGCAAGCGCTTCCCTTTCAACAATTTCACGTGCTTTTTAACTCTCTTTTCAAAGTGCTTTTCATCTTTCGATCACTCTACTTGTGCGCTATCGGTCTCCGGCCAATATTTAGCTTTAGATGAAATTTACCACCCATTTAGAGCTGCATTCCCAAACAACTCGACTCGTCGAAGGAGCTTCACACGGGCGCGGACACCCCATCCCATACGGGATTCTCACCCTCTATGACGTCCCGTTCCAGGGCACTTAGATGGGGACCGCTCCCGAAGCATCCTCTACAAATTACAATGCGGACCCCGAAGGAGCCAGCTTTCAAATTTGAGCTCTTGCCGCTTCACTCGCCGTTACTGGGGCAATCCCTGTTGGTTTCTTTTCCTCCGCTTATTGATATGCTTAAGTTCAGCGGGTATCCCTACCTGATCCGAGGTCAACCTGGATAAAAATTTGGGTTGATCGGCAAGCGCCGGCCGGGCCTACAGAGCGGGTGACAAAGCCCCATACGCTCGAGGACCGGACGCGGTGCCGCCGCTGCCTTTCGGGCCCGTCCCCCGGAATCGGAGGACGGGGCCCAACACACAAGCCGGGCTTGAGGGCAGCAATGACGCTCGGACAGGCATGCCCCCCGGAATACCAGGGGGCGCAATGTGCGTTCAAAGACTCGATGATTCACTGAATTTGCAATTCACATTACGTATCGCATTTCGCTGCGTTCTTCATCGATGCCGGAACCAAGAGATCCGTTGTTGAAAGTTTTAAATAATTTATATTTTCACTCAGACTACAATCTTCAGACAGAGTTCGAGGGTGTCTTCGGCGGGCGCGGGCCCGGGGGCGTAAGCCCCCCGGCGGCCAGTTAAGGCGGGCCCGCCGAAGCAACAAGGTAAATAAACACGGGTGGGAGGTTGGACCCAAAGGGCCCTCACTCGGTAATGATCCTTCCGCAGGTTCACCTACGGAAACCTTGTTACGACTTTTACTTCCTCTAAATGACCGAGTTTGACCAAGTTTTCGGCTCTGGGGGGTCGTTGCCAACCCTCCTAAGCCAATCCCAAGGCCTCACTGAGCCATTCAATCGGTAGTAGCGACGGGCGGTGTGTACAAAGGGCAGGGACGTAATCGGCACGAGCTGATGACTCGTGCCTACTAGGCATTCCTCGTTGAAGAGCAATAATTGCAATGCTCTATCCCCAGCACGACAGGGTTTAACAAGATTACCCAAACCTCTCGGTTAAGGTGATGTACTCGCTGGCCCTGTCAGTGTAGCGCGCGTGCGGCCCAGAACATCTAAGGGCATCACAGACCTGTTATTGCCGCGCACTTCCATCGGCTTGAGCCGATAGTCCCCTTAAGAAGCCAGCGGCCCGCAAATGCGGACCGGGCTATTTAAGGGCCGAGGTCTCGTTCGTTATCGCAATTAAGCAGACAAATCACTCCACCAACTAAGAACGGCCATGCACCACCATCCAAAAGATCAAGAAAGAGCTCTCAATCTGTCAATCCTTATTTTGTCTGGACCTGGTGAGTTTCCCCGTGTTGAGTCAAATTAAGCCGCAGGCTCCACGCCTTGTGGTGCCCTTCCGTCAATTTCTTTAAGTTTCAGCCTTGCGACCATACTCCCCCCAGAACCCAAAAACTTTGATTTCTCGTAAGGTGCCGAACGGGTCATTATAGAATCCCGTCCGATCCCTAGTCGGCATAGTTTATGGTTAAGACTACGACGGTATCTGATCGTCTTCGATCCCCTAACTTTCGTTCCCTGATTAATGAAAACATCCTTGGCGAATGCTTTCGCAGTAGTTAGTCTTCAGCAAATCCAAGAATTTCACCTCTGACAGCTGAATACTGACGCCCCCGACTATCCCTATTAATCATTACGGCGGTCCTAGAAACCAACAAAATAGAACCACACGTCCTATTCTATTATTCCATGCTAATGTATTCGAGCAAAGGCCTGCTTTGAACACTCTAATTTTTTCACAGTAAAAGTCCTGGTTCCCCCCACAGCCAGTGAAGGCCATGAGGTTCCCCAGAAGGAAAGGCCCAGCCGGACCAGTACTCGCGGTGAGGCGGACCGGCCAGCCAGGCCCAAGGTTCAACTACGAGCTTTTTAACTGCAACAACTTTAATATACGCTATTGGAGCTGGAATTACCGCGGCTGCTGGCACCAGACTTGCCCTCCAATTGTTCCTCGTTAAGGGATTTAAATTGTTCTCATTCCAATTACGAGACCCAAAAGAGCCCCGTATCAGTATTTATTGTCACTACCTCCCCGTATCGGGATTGGGTAATTTGCGCGCCTGCTGCCTTCCTTGGATGTGGTAGCCGTTTCTCAGGCTCCCTCTCCGGAATCGAACCCTAATTCCCCGTTACCCGTTGCCACCATGGTAGGCCACTATCCTACCATCGAAAGTTGATAGGGCAGAAATTTGAATGAACCATCGCCGGCGCAAGGCCATGCGATTCGTTAAGTTATTATGATTCACCAAGGAGCCCCGAAGGGCGTTGGTTTTTTATCTAATAAATACACCCCTTCCTGAAGTCGGGGTTTTTAGCATGTATTAGCTCTAGAATTACCACAGGTATCCATGTAGTAAGGTACTATCAAATAAACGATAACTGATTTAATGAGCCATTCGCAGTTTCACAGTACAAGTTGCTTATACTTAGACATGCATGGCTTAATCTTTGAGACAAGCATATGACTACTGGCAGAATCAACCAGGTAACTTCATGGCAAGACATCCCGGGGGGCCCACCCGCCTTGCGGCGAGAGAGTCCCGGGAGCCCAGACCCCCGAAGGGGTAGAATGTAGTTAAATGGAAGGGGCGCACGAGGCGCCCGGTTGCGGCGGCACCCCCGG